TTTAGTCTAAAAGCTTATATTTAAGTTTAAAAATTAGAAAATTATAACTTTAAATTTTAAAAATTTTTAACTCTAATTTTAAAATATTACTTAAATTTAAATATTAGGTTTTAAGTTTTTTAATATTTATAAATAAATTTAATTAAATTTATTTAAAATTAGATTTAATAAAATTAATTTAAATATATTTTAACTTATATTAGATTTATTTAAACTTGAATTAAATTTAAATAAGTTTAATTTAAATTTAAGGGTAGAGTCCAATATAGATCATTTTTCATATGACTTTGATAGTAATTTATTTTTATTTTTAATATTTTAAAAAATTTTATTAAGTTAATTATTTTAGATTATTAAGTAAAGTTTATAGAATGAGTTTTTCTGATTCTAATGATAGTAAAATCATTAAAATTTGTTAAATATTTAATAAGAAATATGTATTTAAAGATTAGATATTATTTTTGTCATATGATAATCATGTGATATAAACTAATCAAAATAACTGATTTTGTGTCACCACAGAGAATTTGAGGTCACTACAGGAAACTTTACAACATATACAAGTATATTTTTTTTAATATTTTGATTATTAAATTTTATACTATTGCAAAAAGCATATTTTAATATATATATATTATAAAATTTTAATAAAAATTAAATATAATTATAAAAAGTTTTATTAGTAACATCTTTCAATTTTTTGTAAAAATTTTAATCAGACATGCAAATTATATAACAAATAATCTACATCAAACTTTACCCTTAAGTAAATTTAAATTAGATTTAAATAAATATAAATAAACTTAAATTAGGTTTAAATAAATTTGAATTAAATTAAATAAATCTAATTAAATTGAAATAAATCTAATTTAAATTTATTTATATTTAAATAATTTTAAATAAATTTAATTTAGATTTATTTAAATTTAAATTAAATTTAAATAAACTTTTTTAGTTTGTATTTTTTTAGTTTATATTTTTTTAATTTGTATTTTTTTGTTGTGTTTTTTTGTTTTAAATTTTTTTTATTTTGTATTATTTTGTTAAATTTTTTTGATTTATATTTTTAAATTTGTTTTTTTTAATTTGTATTTTTTTAATTTGTAATTTTTTTAGTTATTTTTTTTTTGTGTTTTTTTTTTAATTTATTTATTTAAATTGTAATAAGTTTTTATTCAAAACTTATAACTAAAATAATAAGTTTATGAAAAAACTAATAAAATTTAAATATTTAACATGCTGTAAATAGTAAAAATAATGATGTAAATAATATTACTCTTAATAAAATTAAATAAGTTTTGACAAATTTATTTATTTGTATAATTTTTTATTATTACATCAAGTTTATGTTGCTATAAATAAGTAAAAAAAAATCTAATTAGTATTTAAATTTATGGGAAATTCTATTTTGATCCGGGTTTTTTAATATAAAAACCCAGCCGACATTAACGGCCCGCACTAACACTAAATTTTTAGGAGGGGCTGATTTAAAAAAAAATTAATTTTTTTACTTATATAAAAATTTTTTATATTATCTAGATCATCAACAAAAATCATTTTTCGTTATATAACTTTAGGTAAATTCTATTTTGACCCGGGTCAAAATTAAGAATTTAATATAACCGATAATATATGTAATTTAGCGATTTTATTGGCTGATTACCATACATGACCATGCATGGATCTACTACATAGATTAGCCAATCACACGAATGTCTGCACATGAATCCAATAGCGAGTCTCGCTTTAATGTAATGTAACACGTTCAGGAAGATCAAAACAAAATGTTCGAATTTTGGTGCGTCGCAAATATTACCACGTGACAGTAACTTTTTACGGCGATCCTTGGTAAGATCTCGATTATTAGTGATGCTGGTGCTTTTACAGTTCTTTGTTCTACTAATCCCCGACAAATAAATTTATGTAGTGAAAGGAATCCCGTGAATCCGCATTAAGAGACGCTGAACCTTTCCATACTGTAGAAGTATATAAAGTTTTAGTGTATTGTTTGTAGTGTTATATTTGTGTTATCAACATTTCGACTCCTACCTATTTCGGAAGTCATTTCGCCTTTTGCAACGTATGTACATACATAATCTATGCACAGATACTGAAATATGCATAACTATGATGTAATTGGATCACAGATCAAAATGTTACACGTTACTCAGATATGTAGTATAATTCTTAAATTGGAATTTATCAACCGTTTGAAAAAACTTTCGAACAACTGCCTTGAACTTTTAACATGCAAATTGTAATATAATAATTACTATGAGTGAATCACCAAATACCGAGACAGAGAAGTTTTCGAGAGTTATTAATGAAGAGCATGCAGCTGAAATTGCTTCATGGATTGACAGAAAAACGGATAAATATTCGATAAAAAACAACCCGTATGAATTCAGGTTACTTGCTCGTGGAAGTAGAGATGGTTTCACTGCTAGATCATTTTGGCATTTATGTGATAAACGAACAAATATTGTTGTAGTTATGAAGGTTAAAGGAACAGATGAAATTCTTGGTGGATATAATCCTATTGGATGGGATAAACCTACAATAGAAACAGTTAATGATTACAGGAATTGCAGTGAGAGCTTTATTTTTTCACTGAAAAATAATATTCAAGATTCTATTTTATGTCGTATTACGAATGCAGGACAACATAGGGCAATTATGTCTTGTTTAGAGAATGGGCCATGTTTTACAAGTGGTCTTTTTATGAAAGATCGCTTTAATGAATCTAATAATGCTTTTGATAATTGTTATTGTTGGTATAATTCCAAGGAAATTTATTATGAACGAATTAGAGATGAATCTTTATATGTACATCATTCTTATCTACAAGATTGTTATTGGTCAAAATTTTCAGTAGAAGAGTATGAAATATTTCAAATTTATAAACCGATTTCTTAAATTCTATCTCTAAATATTTTATTTTTATATAAATTTAAAAAACGCAATTTAAATCCAGATATTTACTATGTTAGCAAACTATCTTTCTCGATAGATTATATTAGAAGTTCATTGGCAGAAATTCATCTGATTGGCTAATAAATTCGATTTAATTTTACATCATTTATACAATTTAGAATACTTTTTAAAAAAAACGAAAACCAACCATAATAAAGCAAAAAAAACCCCCATATAGAAGGTTTCATTTGAGCTGTAGGATTCCATAGTCAAAAATAAAAATAATTAGCTGAGTAATAAGTTGATTTTATCGGGTTTTGGAAGTTATTACTATACTGACTTTTTTAAACGGACGAGAATTAGATCTTATTTTTGCCTATGGAGCCTTACAGCTCTAGAACCTTCTATATGATTTTTTTTACCTTATTATGGTTTGTTTTCGTTTTTTTTAAAAAAAGTACTCTAAACTGTATAAATAATGTAAAGTTATTAGCCAATCAGACGAATTTCTGCCTATGAATTAGGAGTATCCAAATTAGTGATACGGGTCGATGAAAAAATCGTGGGCCGGGATCGATCCTAAAAAAGCTCGGGCTGATCGACCGGGCTGACGTGCAATTGTTCTGATCAGAATCAGTTGACATAACTATATTAAACGTGCAAAAGGCCACCAAGTAGTTTCTTTTCAAATTATAGTGACTTTAAATTATTTGACTTTTAATTAGTTTGTCCTTGAGAAAAATTCAGCACGTTAGTATTTAATGTTGATTGATTCTGATCCTTATATTATATTCGCTATTTGCCAATTTATCACCTAAATGAGCCAACTTCTACATTATTATAAGCGACTAACCGATCTTTATTGAGATATGTTTTAGAGGGGAATTGATAGAAGGGAATTGATTTTAGCACTTCTCTTATAACCGGTCCGGCCCACAAAGGTGCGTACTAAGAGTCGACCCGCCCATCGACCCGGCCGTTGGAAATTTGATATTTTCATTACAACTATTATCATAATTTCTGGGACACCTGCTCATTACCCGAAATCTTTTGGTCGTTCGGTCAATTACCTAACTCTCTGGAAACTACATCTCTGTCTTCGGACCTTCAGTCCGGAGGCAATTATGTAATCTCTGGATAGTTAGGTATTGACCGAACGACCAAAAAGATTTCGGGTAATGAGCAAATCTAGAATTTATGATAATAGCTGTAATATGAATAGTTTTCTAATGATATTCGCTACATGCACTTTATCTGACTAAGTAACAAGGGTGGTTAATAAAGCCATTTAATGTGGCCAATGCTCAAAATTTTCGGTGTCAATGCTGTTTTGTTTTTGTTTTTTTTTGCCGGCAATATTTTATTAATCGGAGGTTTAGATATGAATTTATCCAAGCAAAATTTTTTTGATTGATAAAGTCGAGCTGGAAATTGTCTTAACCGGAAATTACCCGCAACTATTTCTACGGCATGTATTTGATATATAAATATTTCATTAATTCATAATAGAAAAATTTTGACATAATTGAAATTTCTTTTATAGAAAATTAATAATAATAATACACAAGCAATAAATCATATCGGCAGATTGACTTATTATGAGATTACAATTTTAATATCATCTGACCTACAAGCCGGGACACTTGAAGAAGTGTGACCACATTTTTATATAATCATTGTCTGAAGCGTAGTGGAGGACAAAAACATGTCGATCTGTCCGCCACATCATGTGATATACGACCAATCACGTTACTGTGATCGACAATCAATTAATTCTGGCCCGAAAAAAATCCCCGTTATATCGATATAGCTTACTATTATTGTCCGGAATCTTTTTACGCGTGGTGTTTCAAAAGTAACATTCTTTACATGTTCTACTTAAAAACATCAAAAAAGTAATTTCGAATTTTCTGTTCGTGATCTAAAATATAAAATCAAAAGTAATATTACAGTGTGTTTGCTCTTGGCTAATAACGGTTTCCATTCATATATACATGTGCCTCAGCTGACACACCTCAGATCTCGATCGTTACATATTTAAAACTCTAGCAATAAAAAACACTAAATAAAAAACCATAACAATAATGATGATCACTATAGTTCTCGATAATGTGATCAATTAAGATTCAGAAATACTATTTGAGATTCCATAACTCTTTATTCTTAAAGCATGCCTATAATTTAAGTGTCATAGCTCTCGTAATTCTCAAGATTTTGATCTTCGTGATGAACTTCCACATAATGATACGATGATCTCTGTCATATTTCACATAATTCTCGATATTGTGGTCATTCAATATTTCAGAAGTATTATTTTATAAGATACTATAATCCGTCATTCAATAATGTGCTTAGCACACACCTATAATTTTAGTGCGATACTATGGTCTTTTCTATGATCCCTTATAGCTAGTTATTCAGTTATGAGCATAACATACTAGTTGATGTAAAAATTGTAAACAAATAATACTTAGAAAGTTCTGATTCTAATTATTGTGCCAGTATTAATATTATACTTATTTTGTATAGAACTTGGATTAAGATTTAGAATAAGATATGATTAAAAGATAAGGTTATATATCAGCACTATAATTATTGGTCATTTTATTAGCATTATTTTTCAAGAATTATTTTCTCTCTAATCTATTGAATGCATTAAATTAAAGCATAAATAAAATTACTTACTCATATTTTTGATATAATAGTGGCTTATAATTTTAGAAAATAGATTATTCCTTAAATTATCTAATGTACAAATTTGTATGTTTTTTTTTATTAAATAATGTTCAAGTAAAAACTTTATTACATACAGAAATATAGGTTCTAAATTTAAAAATTTTTAAACTACATTTGCGCTACAGAATGGTATCTAATGTGATATTACATCTTTATTTTCTATAAATGTTATAATTAATTATTTCAAATTAGGTTTTAGCTAGAATAGGTTGAAGGAAACCTTTATGTAATTGTCTGGATATTAGTTAGTACAAGTAGTTAACAAATAATCTTATAAAAGTTATTTGGTAATAAAAGAATTAATATTAATAGAATAAAAAAAGAATGTGATATTTTTTAAAGAGTTAAATAAAATTGATAACCTAATTTTGCATATTTGGATTTATATATAATATTATAAGATTGTTTTTATTAATGTTGATATATATTATGAATATACTAAAAATTTTGATAAAATCAGTTAAGTAGATACAGGTTGAATAAAGAAATATTAGTGTCATATCAGCATTTTTTTTAGTTCTGATATTATACTGATATTAGTTAAAATTTGTTTAGAATCAGAAACTTATAGAATAAAAATTAGTATTATATTAGCTTTAAGCAATATCAAAAAGCTGATAGCTCTATAAATAAATTGATAGTGCTATTAATCAATTAATTAATAGCTATTGATCAATTGATTGATAGCACTATTGATTTATCTATAGAGCTATCAGCTTACTGATATAGCTTAAAGCTAATATAACACTGATTTTTATCCTATAGGTTTCTGATTTTAGCCAAATTTTAACTAATATTAGTCTAATATCAGGTCTAAAAAATGCTAATATAATACTGATATTTCTTTATTTGACTTGTGAGATTAATAAATATTTTGATATTATTATATATAATAATAAAATAAGTTTTACTAATTATATATAAAATGTATTTGTAGGTGTGGCAACCTAGTGAAGTAGTCAGATTGTCAATCCCCCAAGTGGTAGATTGGGTGTTCAAATCTTATCGACAGCAAAAATTTGGATAATCACTTATGTAATATTCATATTATAGCAACTGTTACTAATGATTGAGTTAGGATACTTATAGTGACAGTCACACCAGCATGACTAACAGTTTATGGAGCATCTGTATAAGTATGGCATTATATAGAGGAATGCAAACTGACAAATCAGGCAGTGCAAACACTTGATAAGTTCTTGTGGCTATGTAAATCTGTCAAAATTAGGTAACAAGAAGTCTATTTGGAAAGACCCAAGTAGAGAGGTAGCTGGATCTTCAATGGCCCTACAGTAAAGGCTAGCCTGAAGAAACAGATACCAAGATCATAGTATCTGGTCATAGTACCTAATTGTAGTAGCTGAACAGACAAGAACCTCCAGATTTGGAAGTCTCAGAGATATCACCAACCAGGGCACTACAATAAACTGAAGAAAAAGGATATTGGGCTTACCTGATATACTGATAGACTGGTCATAGTCCTACACAGGCTATCTGAATTGGAAGTTTAATAAAAAGGCAGGTGAAAAGACAGAAGTATACTAAAGTACTAGGGTTATGCTATGAAGTAGATGCTGGGGTCTAAGTGAACTCTACAAGAGCATAGCAGTTTAATAGTCAGCCCTAATTGCAAGTATTGTTTCTGCTATAGTGATACCTAGGTCTGCTGTAAAAATGTATACAGAAAG